GCGCTGCACTGGTCCCTTCCCTGGGACCTTCTGGTGTTCCTGGGACTGGGAGGGTCATGAGGAGGAGTGGTGGAGTGCTTGGGTTAGGGTTCTGGAGGCCGGGATTCCCTCCCCATTAACCCTCTGTTTTCCACAGCCCAGGAGCTATTGCAGAGAGCAGGAGACAGCGGGAACAGCAGCTCACAGGAAGGCGAGGCTGTGGTTCTGAACCAGGAACCTGCTGCCAGGCAGAGCCAGTGCTGTACACGATAGATGATGCCCCCACAGGAGAGCATGTGGAGGACATCTCAGCCTGTGCCTCCGAGGGTCCTCAGCCCGAGCAGGAGCTTCAGAACAAGGCTGGTGGCTCTTTGTCTATCCATGGTCTCTGTTGAAGATGGATTATGACTGAGCCCTGGAGGCTTCCAGAAGTTGGCTTCCTTCATGATAACTGCTTGCCAAAGATGATGGGAACTGTCAGGGATAGGATCCAGTGCCAGATGGCTCCCAGAAGACTGTCAGCCCCACCTTACCAGATACTACCCAATTCCTGGATGCCCTGAGCCAGTGTGCCTGGCCCACCTGGGCAGTCCCATTCAGCTGCCTTGCTACCAGCACAGAAGAGTTAAATGAGACAGAGAAGAAGCATGGACTAGAAACATTCTTTGGTCTATGCGATGGCAAGACAGATGTTTCATCCTGGGGCCGCTGGTCCATAACTGGACCACCTTAGTTCTGGGAGTTGTCAGGGGAGAGGGGGGCCGAGAAAGGCATCTGTGCAAGGAAAAACATGGAGAGATGAGCCCAAGGTGGTGGGTCTCAGTGAGGTGAGCCAGGAGAGGCAGAGTCTGGAGTGGCTGAGATGGGAGTGTCCCCCTTCCAGCTGTGGATGGACAGAGCCAGGGTCCTTTCTAGTGTTGCCCGGACTCTAGAGCCTCCACCATATTGTCTATGCATCCTTCTCTCTAAATATTAAATGTCTCGACGATCTGACCACTTCACAGTGTTGTACTAGGATCCCCGGCCTGACAAGTCACACTGGTCAGTCCTTCTGCACACAGTAGACTGGTTTGTGGGTATCGGACATGGTGAGGGCTCCACACTATTCAGTCCTTCTGCACACAGTAGACTGGTTTGTGGGCATCAGACATGGTGAGGGCTCACAGGGCAAGTGTAACAAGGGTGGGCATGGGCATTGGTCTGGGTAGGCTGTCTCTCCTGATGGTGATTGTGTTATCTGCATTGAGAGTTCTCATCCTTACAGAGAAACCCAGTTCTAGGTCCTTATCTAGGGAGGAAAGCCCCAGAGGGTCTCTCTCTTGACACATGCTATGATGGAGGTATTTCAAATGTGGCCATTTGGGGTGCAGAGTTGGTCTTTTTTCTTGTCTTTGCTTCTAGGAGTGTGATAAGTTGTTGAGTCTGAATAATGAGACACCGTCATTGGATGTGGTGATATCGGCCTCTAATCCCAGGACACACAAGGTTGATGCAGGAGAATGACAAGCCTTTCTGGGCTGCACAGTGAAAAAGCAAACAAAGACAAAACAAACAAACAAAATTAACAGAACGGAGGAAACCCCAGAGAACACCACCAAGTGGAACACAGTTACCTCACTGAGGCAGGTGGTCCCTCTGTGTCCACTGTAAGTGCAAACGGACAAACATGACATCCTCTTTCCCACTTTACTCCAACTTCTCAGCAAAGTGAGCTCAGGCTGGTCAGGAGCTTGTTTGTGCCTGGGATGTGCCCTCTGCTCTCATTGACTTTGCCTGGAAAGAACCATTTCAGCTTCCTGCCTTCACACTTCAAGTGGGGCTCAGTCCAGGGAGAGCCTTGCCTGGGTGGGGACTGGAGGGAGCATCCTGGGTCCACTGCACCCCTGAAGGGTTCCAGCTTCCGTTCTGGGGCCTGGAAACAACCCTGACATTTTGGGTACTGATGTAGTTCCAACCCGACCTAGAGGAAACTCCTGTGGCCACTGGACAGATGTGGGTCTGCCACTGAAAGGCTTGTTTTCTAGTGAGGCTTTTTTTTTTGGGGGGGTGTTTCGAGACAGGGTTTCTCTGTGTAGCTTTGTGCCTTTCCTGGATCTCACTCCGTAGCCCAGGCTGGCTTTGAACTCACAGAGATCCACCTGGCTCTGCCTCCTGAGTGCTGGGATTAAAGGCGTGCGCCACCACTGCTCGGCCATCCTAGTGAGGCTTGTTGATGGCTGTACATCTGCTTTTCTGACGCCAGAGAAGATGGAAAGTGGCCACATGATGATGCTCTCCAAGTGAAGTAGGGGAAGTGAATATTCTGGCATCCCAGGCTGTCCCCTTCATCTTCAAAGTCTTCATCAGGGCTGGGAATCATCCAGCAAGCAGGCAAGCCCCTCATAGAGGTGATGAGAGGCCCTGCTCACCTATGACCACTAGGTGGTGCTCCAGTACCACCCAAGGCAAAACCTTCTACTCTGTCCTAAGTGCCTAGAGAGAGACTCAGGTGCACCTCCTAAGAGCAAAGTCGTTGCTTTGAGGAAACAGGAAGTGGGGAAACACCAGGGAGGTTTGTAGGGTGCCTGTCTGTTTGATTGCCAATCGCCTCTCTGTCTTGACTGATGAGTAATGCTCCCTTTGACACACTCCACCAGAAAGCCCAAGACTGGACGGATCTGGTACCACGCAGCTTCCTTGCCTCCTCCCCACCAGGCAGATGAAACTCAGGGATGTCCTGGAATCACACTGGAGAAATCTCTTATGGCTGAGAGGCAGGGTCCCAAGCTCACGATCAAGGTTAGCAAGTTGAGGCGGGACCCAGGACCCTATCAGAGGATCCAGGGCCTTTGGATAGTGGAGCACAGTGTCCAGCTAAGCCCCGGGGTCTTTTCTATGACAGGAAGTGCAGGAGCAGAGCCAGGCACACCAGCAGGGGGACAATCGGCATGGATCATTTTAAAGAACTGCTTACTGGGTGCTTTAGAAGGTCAATGTTATAACTAAAGGCAGCAATAAGATCAGGGACTAAGAAAAATAGGGCGCACGCACGCACGCACGCATGCACGCACGTAATTAGTGACTTTTCCGGGCTTACATCTTGTCTTATTCTTGTGAGGAATGTGCTGAACTGTTTGGGGACAATGTCTTGGTGTCTGCAGCTCACCACCCAGTACAGGTGACTCTAGGACACAGAGCGGAAGTGGGAAGACAGCACACAGGCTAGCTGATGAGTCCAGGTGGGCGGGATAGTCATTACAGCATCTTTTGGAATTTCCTGCATGCTTTAAACCTGTTCCAAGACTGTGGAAAAATGAATATGCCTCCATTTATCTTTCTGGAAAAGGAGATGGTCCGTTCCTGGTGAACTGCTATGGGAGATAGTCCTCCAAGCACAGCAGCTACTAACATTGCCGTAAGAGCATCGACTGTTACCTGCAGGGAACTGTCAACAAGATCCAGTCTGCGTAGAAGGGGAGGGGGTGGGGAGGGTCATTAGACCTTCATCTGAGATCCCAGCCACTCCCAGTGTCACCCCCATTGCCCACCTCAGCGGCATGTCATTTTGCCCCAGGAGCAAGTGGTTTTGGAAGATGTACAGGGAGCGGAAAGAACTGAAGGGCAGACGGCATGTCTCCCTAGGCAACAGTCACAGCAGATGCCCTGAGCGCAGCCTGAGTAGAACAGCTTAGACAGCTGACCCCCGGCTGAGGTCCAAGATGGTCTGTGGGTGGGATGGCACTTTCTGAGCCGGGAGAAGGCCAGCTCAGGCCTCTGCACTGGCTGATGAGGCTGCTAGAAGCCACTGGCACTCCTCTGTGCAGGCGAATCTCATTGCTGCCCCAGCTTCCCATGAAGCTCTTGCCCAAGTGTCCCCCCCTTTCTAAGGACACTGGCTGTGTTGTGTAGGCATCCCCCTTACTCTGACTCAGGTACTCAAGTAGAGTAAATGTGTGCCCTGACTCCAAAGTCGTTTGAGGAAGGGTATAGAGATGCCCCGTGCGACTTGAAAGGGGCATGTAGGATCAAAATGGTTGGGGTAAAGTCTCTCGGGGATTCTCCTCTGAGCAGGAAGGAAGGTGACGTGCCCACATGTGTTAGTGGCTGCCAGGATTCTGCAAGGGACAAGGAACAGGGTATGTTCAGGGTGGTGAGGGACACCATGTGTCACTGTACTGGTGGAGCCAAGTGATGCATTTGCCCAGACAGCAGGCATAGTACTGAACATGAACCCTGTGGACACCACAGGTTCTGGGCAATGGCACCATGCAGCTTCCTGGGCTGTAATGAATGTTCTTTGTCCTGAAGGGTTCTGGGAATGGTGCTCTGGGGATGGAGCTCCTAGGACCATCTCTATATCTTCTAATTTTTTGCAGCAAACCCACAATAGCCCTAAAAGTCAGTCTTGGAAATGCGCTAAGAGGAGGACATGGGTCACACCAGGGGAGTTACGCTGCCTTTCTTTGGGACCAAGTATCTTATACACTGTAGTGTGTGGTCCCCCTAGCTTATGTGGTGTGCAAGCTGAGTATGCGTTCAGGGTAGCTTGGGTGGGTGGGAGCTTGTGGAATCAGGTGACCAAGGAAGGGGCACCCCATTTCTGGGCAGTGGTGTGGCTTTGGGGGAACAAGAATTTACAAGAACACCGATATCAACATTCCCTTCCTTCCGTCAATTCGGGTTATTAGGGGATCAGGCCAAGCTCCGCAGGGCCTGGTAAGGAGGGTGTCTCAGCTGTTTGGGGGGCAAGTCAGAGCCTTTTCTTTCCAAGGAGGCCACTGGGCTCTGAGCTTCTTTCCTGGCTAACCTCCCACGAGAGAAAACATCTTTGTTATCACACAGCTACAGGTGTACGGTGAAGAAGGCGGCACTTTTATTAGATTAAAGGAAAGCAGAGAAGAGAGAGGGTGGGGGAGGCTCTGCAGGGGGAGGGGGGAGGGTGGGGGAGGCTCTGCAGGGAGGGGAAGGGTGGGGGAGGTTCTGCAGGGAGGGGGAGGGTGGGGAGGCTCTGCAGGGAGGGGGAGGGTGGGGAGGCTCTACAGGGAGGGGGAGGGTGGCGTCGGGTCCAGCATCACTGTCTTCACGAGCTCGGCTGTCTTTGTCAGTGCTGAGAGAACTTGGCACCTCCATCCAGCGGGAGGCAGCTCAGCCGGCACCGCAGGCCGGGTACGGTCACGTCCCTCAGGGCTGCCCTCCTCCTGCCGAAGCGGCCCACAGGCCTGATCCCACGGCCTGCGTACCAGGCTGGATTGATATCAGGGGCTGGAAAGGAAAGATCCGGAGCAGCATATGGGATACACGGCACACAGGTGCAGTGTCTCCCACACAGAACCCCTAAGCTGATGGAAACCAGGGCACCAGGCCATGTTGGCACTCAACCTGATGAAACTGGCCAGGGCATATCTGGTCAGTGGTGTGGCTTCGGGAAATTAATTTAGATGTATACCAGGAGGGACATTCCCTTCCTGTCCCACTCGATTCCACCCCACCGCCCCCGCTAAGCTCTTAAGGGACCCAGCCAAGATGGGTAGGGGCATGGCGAGGACAGGACCATTCTGGGGAGAGGCCCATTCAATAGGATCTTGTTACCAAGAGGTCAGCCTCTAGAGTGAGCACATGGCAAGGTAGTTTTGACTTAGGAGATGGCCAAGCCCCACTCAGGTGCTGAGCACTCAAGGCATCTGGGGAGGGTATGGAGGGGAGGGAGAGAGAGGCTGTCCACTGCAAGCACTTACTGCGTGTCTCCATGGAGTGCTGGTGGGCTCGGCTGGAAGCTCCTGGGAGGACCAAGGCTAACAGCAGCAGGCACAGAAGCCACGCCCTCAGAGTTGCCATGCTTCTGGCTTCCTCGATGATGCCCTGGGGGTCGAGGCATAAGAGTAAGTTGTCTGCACAAAGCTGGGACCCTAGGTTGTGTGTGCAGACGCACATGTGTGTTTGGGACATGTGTGTGCACATGAGATATACAAATGCGTGTGTTTGGTGCACATAGCCACACTTCTCAAGTGGCTGTCTTGGGACCTTCTTGGGCCTGTCTGTCCATCTGTGTGAGGAGCCGGGAGGTAGGCACCCAGGTCTTGGTGGGAAGCAGTTTTATGGGAAGGCCTCAGGGCAGCAGAGGTGGGGGGGAAGAATTTGCTCGACCTCAGAGGTAGTTAAAGGTTTGGGAGTTTGAGACTTCACTGCCCAGTCCTTCTCCACACTTGCCTCAGGATCTCCTGACACTGAGAGACAGGCAGGCCATGGAGGACACAGCATCCTCCATCCCTAGTGAGTACACACCCCACAGTCCCCACAGTAACCCAGGACTTCAGACCTAGTTTGCTGAGACTCCGGAATGAGTCTGTGGCACCTGCTTCTCCTCACAGAGCCCTTTTGAGTGACAGAGGAGAGTCCTCAGCTGTGTATGGAAAGGGGTACCCTGCTGGAGTACCCCTCCTTGTCCACACCCCTGACATTTCAGTTCCCATTAGAAGATGTTCTAGGACCTCAAATGCTTCAAGGAAGACCTTTAGCTGACCTTGACTTCCCAGCCCCTCCTTGACCGCACAGAAAGATCTGTCCATCAGAATTCTTTAAAATGCCCACTCCTTCCTCTTCACAGCATTGCTGGGGTGTCCCACACTGGGCAGGGGAGCCCCAGCTAGAGGAAATGGAGGTGCCACCATGAATCATTATAGAGACTTCATCCATTCAGGCTAGGTGATGGAGGCCCAGAATGCTAGTTGACCCTGATTCTTGACCTCCAAGCACCCACTTTCTGGAGCACAGTAGACCTATCTGCTCAGTGTGTCTTCTGGTCTCTGCTTGAGGTGTCCCTCAGTGGGACACCTTCACCTGCCCTCCACCGTGGACATCCCTTCAGTGTCTGAGTCCCTAGGAGGGGGTGTGATCTTGGACCCCAGACCGTGGGTAGCTCTCTCTGCTTGTCCTGCTTGGTCCCCGCACCTGGTCTCCAGGTGAGCATGGCAGAGAAAAGACTTGCTGGCAGTCATAGCAACCCCCTCCCCCCCAACACTGCCAAGGTACTCACCTGCTGCCCCTTGAGTGTGGCGACAAGGCTGCCTGGGTGTGAGGTGATGCCTGCCTGACTGCTCACCTTTTATAGGCCACCAAGGAGGCAACGGACGCCCCCGGCCCCTCCTTGAGATGGCGTCTTTGCTTATAGCCAGCAGTCCCCAACTGCGTCTCCTCCCTCATCAAGACACTCCGTCTTTTTACTTTCCTTTCTTTTTACCTTAAAAAAAAAAAAACTCTCACCAGCAGTGTGATTTGTTCCTTCCTGAATTATATAATTTCATTTGGGCCAAGTGGCTTTAAAACACATTAGCCGCCCCTCTTCACGCTCGCCTTTGGGCAGACTCTGCAGTTACGTGTCCACCCATCCTCTCAATGGGAGGCGGCCATCGAACTGAAATATGCCCTGTTCTGAACGCTCTTCTCCTCCTTTCCTGCCTCACCTGAGCCATGGCTTCCTGGAATGGTGGCCAGGAAGTCCCTCGCACCCAGGTGGGTGCTTCCTATTCTGGCTGTCCCCTCAGCTTGCTTATCCACACACAGGGTCTTTAGACACATTTCCTCTATTCCATCCTGCCAAGTTTATTTTTTATAAAACAAAGAGAAGCCTGATGTTGTGGTATACAACTGTAATCCCAGCACTCAGGAAAGTGAAGCAGGAGGACGGCTATGAGTTCAAGACCAACCTGTTCCAATAAAACAAAACAAAAAATTGAAAACAGAGAGCTCCTTTTATTATAAAGAAAGTTTAAAGGTGGTACTCGGCAGTGTTCGAGCTATAATCCTAGTGCTGAGGCAGACAGAGCAGAGACAGAAGAGCCTCAAAGCTCATTGGCCAGTCAACTTAGCCACATTGATGACCTCCGGGTTCAAAAGAAGAACGTGGAGAAATGATTGAGGAAGATACCCGGCATTGATCTCTGGTGTCTACGCACATGTACACAGGGTCCCCACATAAATGTGGACATACCCCATACCTCACACATACAAAACAAAACTTCTAAAAAGCAAGTTTATTTTGCTGTAAAAGCAATTTACAAGCGATGAGAAAAAAAATTAGTGCGTTTAAAAATAGAGAAAAGAGGCCAGATAATGTGCAAAGGCCAGGTTTTCACTCCGGGTGTGCCTTCTGGTGAGTTCCCTGCACCTGCTGGGTAGACTCATCCTGTTTATAGGTGCTGAGCCCCGTTCTTCTTACCACCACAGCCTGGAGTTGTTGACGTGCCTGCAGATCTATGCTGTTGAAAATGACTATGTAATATTCTGTCATTTAACTTGGACCTGTCACCACCTTGTCAATAGTTACAGATTACACGAAATATCATTTAAGTGCAATAGAACATTCTTGAAGGAGCTATGCATGAGAACAGACAAAGCAGGTGGACTCCCTGGGATCATCATTTCCTGGCCTCCTCCAGATGTGTAGGGAAAGCTTCAGGCTGCCACTTCACCCTTTGGGGACTTGGTCAATGCAACATCCGTGTTCTCAAGGCATGGCTGCCATCTCCTTGGCAGAGGGCTCGTTGGGAGATGTGGTAGGAGGTGGGCATGGTAAGGAACTCTAGGATTAGGGTCATGAGGAGCTTTAAACATTTGCTTGGTGCCTTGGTTCCATCTGTGGATAGATAGCTCAGGCATTAGCATTGATGTTAGCCCAGCCTCCCACCGTGGTGAGAACAGCCATGGTGGGGCATGCACCTGTCTTGGGGGTGGGTCTTGTGGGAGATTTCCCCGGATGTGCACTCAGTCATAGGGACCAAGGGGACTGCTGTGAGACCTTGGGAGTGGGAGTGAGTGTCCTGAACATCACTGTGGGTCTGTGTGTGTGTGTCTGTGTGTGTGTGTGTGTGTGTGTGTGTGTGTGTCTGGGATTATGGGTCCTTTTAGCAGGGTAGCTTTATCAAAGTGTAGTGTGGACATAGTGTCCCTCTGAGGGTCCTAACGGGAGCCAGCAGGCGGGGTGGGAGCCAGCACAAGGACCTTGGTCTCAGCCCAGTCTCCAGTCTCCTCCTCACCCCATACTTGATGGCACCAGGCAAAGGATCTGCGGAACTGAGGGACACTTCGGACAGCTGGTGGTGTTCCAGAGGCAGGTGGCGAAGCGCAGGGAAGTGTGGCCTGTGCTGCCCTTGTAGTACTCCACAGAACCCCAGCTGCAGGCCTGGCCCGGGTGCCTCAGAGCCGAGAAGTGGGATGCCCAGAGGGTTTGACCACAGAGATCAAGGAGCTTTTCCCTCATCTTATTAATGGGCCGGGGATCCCAGGACAGGAGAACCAAGCAAGGACTGTTGAACCAGCTTTGGGTACAGCAGAGGGCTTCGTCATCCAGCATAGGCCTGCTCGAGGTGACCGGCACTGAGGCCGCACACGGCCCTAAGTAGCTGCCCTGGGGTCTGGGATAGTGAGCTGTGGCTGTCACAGGGGAGCAATCACAGGGTTGTAGCTGGAGGGACCGTGACTATGGACCATCGGCTGGAATTCTGGACAGTTGACCAAATGAAGGGGGGGCATGTGGAGAGGCAGAGGCTGTGAGGGTGTGCCTCCCCCTTGACTCCCCGAAGCTGGACAGCTTGTGTCCCTGGGCTACAGGAGAAAGCTCCGCGTCTTTCCCCACACTCGTACTTAAATGGATTTCTGCTCCATGCAGTAAAGGGAGCCCCATTTGAACAGGACGCCCTGGCCAAGGCCCACCTCTTGGTCTTCCTCTAGCTTTCAGCAGCGATGAGGACCCCACAGTTTGGGGGTACACTGCAAAGCTTTGAGGTCTTTGAGCTCTCATGCTCTGTAGTGGGTCAGACGTTGTCTCCCCAGTTCACAGCCACCTAGAAGTGCAGGAGACAGTCATCTATGGAAATAGGGCCTTTGGAAGTGTGTTGGCTGAGGCGAGCACACTGGGTAAACTGAGGCAAGCATACTGGGTAAAGGTGGCCCTACACGCAACACATGGTGTCCTGGCAAGAGGGCAGCTGTTCAGAACCACACAAGGCAAGGGGGCATGAGGGTGAGGATGGGGACTGATGTCAAGGTGGACTGGGATGGTGGCAATCCCCGGAGGAGGAAGAGGCACCTACCCCTCAGGACTGCAGATCCCACGGACACCTCAATTGGACTTTCGTCCTCTGAAACTCAGGAGGGCACATCTCCTGGGGGTGTGATTGGTTTAGTTTGCAGTACTTTGCTAGAAGGACACGGGACATGAACGTGGGACTCCTGAGATGTGGATGTCTGAACGGGTGAGGTTCCTTCCTGAAGTTCATTCTCAGGGTACACTAGGCTGTTTGTGGCTCTGGCCTGGGTGTTCTCTGGACTCCTGGGACATGACACAAGCTGATGGGAAGAGGCAGCCCTGGGATTGGAGACTGCCTCCCTAGAGTGGCGGGAAGGCTGTGAAGAGCAGACTATGCAACCACGAGCAAGATTGGTTCGGATGCACTTGGTTTGGAGAACCTAAATTCTTGACAAATTCCAAAGCCGTCATTTGTGTGAGCTACAAACCTAAGTTTAAAGCATGAGATGTCTTGAAAGTGAGGTCCCTGTGTAGTGCACCCCAAAAGCCTGTGTTAGAGGCTTGGCCTCAATGTGGTCCTGCAGTTGGTGGTTATGGCGGCGGAAACTCTGGGGTGGGGGTCAGAGTTATGGCTCCTGTCTGTGACCCACAAGGAAATTTGAAGAAGGTCTGTGTGGGTGGGTGAGGAATCTAGCCCTCCTCATTCACTGTCTGTAACTGCGCACTCTCCCACCATACCCACAGACACTCTTGTGTCTGTCTCTCTCCCTCAAGTTAGGAACGTGAACATGCTCAGGGCCTCCATTCTGTCTGTGAATGTGGCTCAACAAAGCCAAGAGACAGGGTCACAGCAAAAGGGGATCTGGGTGTCCTGATAGAGAGCATCATCCGAGGATAAAATCACGTCAGCTAGTATCTCCTGGGTCAGAGGCTGGCAGGCGCCCTGGCTGTGGTCAGTGGCCTGGCAACAGCCGGAAGTCTGAGAACTTGCTGTCTCACAAGTGGACCCGCACAGGAAGTTCTTCTTATTTCTCACTGGGATGGTGATTACAAGCAACTGTGAGCGTCAAGAGGCACAGAGCCCGTGGGGATGCGATGGCCATGTGGAGGAAACAGTGTGGGGTGCTTTGTGGTACTTTTCTGTGTCCGTGTGTCCCCTTTTAGGGCTGCTGAGCCATCACGGGTTTCTGCAGAGCACAAACACACACATTCATTTAAGTGTGCACATGGGTTCATGTGCAAAGTGTACACACAGATGTAAAAAAACTACTCACAATTATGTGACAGATACAGATGTAACAGAGAAACATACAAATATATAGGTGTTCACACAGGTGGGGATATAGACACAAACTTAGATATATGTATGTACACATACACACACGTGTTGACACACACAGATATACACACCAGCACGTGCACATAGATCTAATGTATGTATATACAGAGAGACATGTGCTGGACACACACACACACACACACACACACACACACACACACACACACACACACACAGAGACATGTACACTGACACCCATGTGGGCATGCACAGACATACATACCAGCGTGTACATGACACATGGACACACACATAGACACAGACATAGATATGTATGAAGGAAAACACATATGGGTGTGAATACATATAGACCCAATCTCAGACATGTGAGTGTACACACGGCACACAGGTACACAGGCAAGCTCCCGGTTCTGTGTATTCACATGTACACACACGCTCAGTTGCTTGTGTTTGCACTAGCCTTAGTCGATGCCTTGGTTGCTTTTTTTGTTTTTGTCTTTCAATAAAGGGTCTCTCTACACAGCCCTGGCTGTCCTGGAACTCACTATGTAGACCAGGCTGGCCTCGAACTCACAGAGATCCGCCTGCCTCTGCCTCCCGAGTGCTGGGATTAAAGGCGTGTGCCACCATGACTGGCTTCTTTTTTTTAATTGTGTGATACCTACATGGACTGATTAGGGTTGGTGCTGGTTATAGACTTCAGCTAAAACTCGCTTGCTGAGCACACATTAAATTCTAAGTGACAACACAGAGCTGACTGGTACACGGAGACCTGTCCTTGGAGGAGGTTCCATTTGGGATCCAAGATACAGAGAGACAGTGTTGTCACAAGCTATGAGCATGACATATGGCCTGTGCAGAATGCTGTTGTGAGGGGCCCCATGCAGAGGACAATGGCTGAGGCCACCCCTGATACTATGCATTGAAATACCTTTCCCCGGTGGTCATTAATATCCAGCCTAGATAGCAGGAAGACTCAGACATACATTTTAAATCAATACTTAGACCATCCCAAGAGAACTACTGCTTTCCCTGTGGCATGGTTGACAGACAGCCTGCCACCAAGCTACACCTCTAGCCCAAGGCAATTTTTTAAGAAAACAATAAATCTGGAGCTCTCCTTGGACAAGGTTTGAAGAATTGGGCCAGGCAGATCTCTGCTCACTCATGAAATCAGAAGTAAACTGAGGTGAACATTGGACAGTGCACTGGGTTGGTAAAATAGGGGGAGGGAGAGATTGGGGGCAGGGGTTGGAATAGCTTGGATGTAGGGTGTCCCTCAAGGTTCATATATTGGAGGTTGGTCCCAGTGTGGTGATGGACCTTGATAGGCGGGGCTTAGTGTGAGCTCTGTAGGTCATTGGGGGGCATGCCTCTGGAAAGGATTAATTAATTGGGGCCTGGTGAGACGGCTCAGTGGTTAAGAGTGCCTCCTGCTCTTCCAGAAGAGCTGAGTTTGGGTCTCAGCACCCACATCCAGGTGGCAAACAACCAACTGTACCCCCAGCTCCAGGGGATCCAATGGCCTTTCTGCTGGTGCCCACACACATGGCACTTACTGGTATATACTCACACAGACACACACCCTCACATAGATGCACACTTTTTAAAGTCTGCATCTGGCTCCTGTTCCTCCTGAATGTTCCTTGCTCTGTCTGGTGAAATGATCTCTCCTCACAGATATTCCCCACCATTATGAGCATCTGCTAAGAAGTGATGCTGGCATTATGTCCTTGAACTCTGCAGAACCGTGAGTCAGGTAAACCTATTTTCTCTGTAAGTAGCCTGCCTGCCTAGTGTATTTCATTACATTAGTGAAAATTGGACTAGCACAAAGTGTGTTTAGGCCTTGACTAAGGGCACTTGTCAGAGATGAGGGCCACAACCTTGTCATCCGACAGGTCACAGTGTCGTGTTTGAGCGGAACTGCTGGGCATGCTCCTGACTCAGTGTAGAGGCCTAAGGCAGTTCACAGCTGTTCTTGTGTCCAGTGCTCATGTTGCTGAACTGAGGGCCTCAGGGGTCAAACGGGGGTCTTCAGGGTCCACCCTCTGTATCTAGTGGCCCTGCCTGGCCTGAGGGCTCGCTGAGCCTGCCCCTTGGGAACTGGGTGCTGAGTGTTTCTGCCATTCTTCCTCCTTGCTAGACTCGGGTGCTTTAAAGAAAGGTCTTCAATTCTCCTTTTGCAGATTGATGCTTACCCCAGCTCCCACCTCTCTTTCGCTCTCATCTAAGACTCAGCATCAACACGTGAAGCTGACAGGTCACATGGAGAGAGGAGACATTACCGCGAAGATGTGGCTGGCCGTCCCTCTCCTCCCGTTGGGGTTCCTCTGTGTCAGAGAGCCACGGTACACTGATTTCCGATCAAAAGAACCACCATCTATGCCTTTGGGAAAACAGAGGGGAGGCGCTTAATGAGCCAAAGACCAATCAAAAAGAGTTCTTGTCTACTTCAGACATTGGGCGGCACCGCACCGTCAACGTGGACATGTCCTCTGTTGAGGAGGTTTCACACTGTGATATACTTTGCCAAGAGCACTCAATGGTTGTGTGAATACCAGTTCAGAATGCTTTTACCTCTTTTAAGAGCCAGGGCTGCTGAGAAAGTAGGCAGGGCCAACAAGAAAAGGGTGGGGCCAGTGGCCAGGAGGTGGGGCCAGCAGGAAAGATGGGGGCCAGTGAGAAAGGAGGCAGGGCCAAAGCATTTAGGTGGCTGGAACTGGAGTTTGTGCCTTTTTCTCTGTGGCCCTGGAATAACAGGGGACTTAGGACACTTGGGTCAGGGGCACCTATATCTTCTGCCATGTAATTCTGTGACAGGACAAGGGACCTGAGGTGAGGGATGCTGGGACTCTGGTCCTCAGAGCAGAAGTCTTTTAGGCCTGTGGCTGCAGAGTTGAGGGCTTTGGCCTCCAGCCTTAACCAACTGTTTGTGTTTAGGTGAGGGGGCTGGACAAAAACTGATACCTGCATGGCTCAGGGGGGAGTTTCCTGACTGAGGGAGTGGGGTTGACTCACAGTAGGCCAGAGTCCTGACAGTCTTCCTAGACCCATATTCAGTGATGTGCTACACATCAGGCCTGTGTCCCTCCCCTCCTCTCCCTTCCCCTCCCCTCCCCTCCTTTCCCTCTCTCCCTCCCTCATCTCCCCCCTCGCTCCCTTTCCCTCCCTTCCTTGCTTCCCCCTCTCCCTTTTGTTTTTGAGAGCTGACTTATAGACGCACAGCTGTGATGTTATTCATTCCCAGGAGGGTGCATACGAACATACATCCTATCCCCAGGAGGGTGCATACGAACATACATCCTATCCCCAGGATTAAGCTCGGCCTGACAGAGCTCTTCCAAGGATCACAGCGTGGAAAGGATTCAGCTGGCTTTGCAGGCCTATGGATTGAGCCCTGAGGACCTGCCATGGGGCCTCGCTGGAAGACCCAGTGGTGAGCCATCTTGCCTACACGCTGGCACTGAGATGTGGTAGGAAAGAACTGGAAAGGGACACTCAGGGCCTGCAGTGGCCTGGCAGTGGGATGCTCTGGCCTTGGGCTGAGTGTGAGCGACCTCTTGGCAGGACGCAGTCTGTTCTTGAAGACAGCCACAAAGAGGACTTGGGCTCACCTCTGTCTTCTTGTTGCATACTCCTGTGTTTGGAGGTTGGCAGAAACTGCCCTTTAAGATTAAACCGTGGTGTTCCAGAAGCCTCAACATTTCAAGAGCAGCCTCTCTCTGTTAACTCTGACTCTGAGGGCCTAGGTGCCCTGATCTTCAAGTGAGCGGGATTTGTGCTGGGACCTCAGTGGATGCAAAGAGGTCTCTTCCTGGGCTCTGCTTCCCATCTGGCAGGAGGTAAGGACCCTCCTCCGCCATACACTCTCACCACCCCAGTGTGCTACCCGAGGGCATGGGGGAAGCTGAGACTTGACCCTCTGAACTACAAGCCAGAATAAACCTTCATTCCTTTGAGTTTCTCAACAGGAATTTTCACAGTGATAGAAGTCGTCACTAGTACACTTCCATATGCCCAGGACAAAGCTGATGTTCTCGTCACCACGGAGAGAGACTTGAAGGTCTTCTAACTGCCTGATAGTCTGTGCTTTCTGCAGGGACTGTTTACACCAAAACCATGGAAACACAGGCACTACCAGCACCGCCTGCACTTGCTTAAAGTGGCCCGGGACTCCATGCATGGGCCCCGGGGTGGCATAGGGGCCTTTCTGGGTGTTCTAAAGAGTCAGGGCCTGGTGTGGCTCCCATGGATTAGAGAGGAGTGTGCAGAGCCTGGCTGGCTGTGTTCCTCCCCTGAGCTCATTTCTCAGTAGTAATGAAGCAGGCAGGGGAACAGGTGGCTCTTACCTTGACCGCTGGGGGAATACTGCCTCCTCTGGAGACAGGGCACGGCTGTCACCTAGGAGGAAGAGAACATCCCTGGGTGTTCCGAAAGTGTAATTTGAACTACTTTGAGACGTCTTTTTATTCTGATTTTAACCACCAAGGTCATTTATTTTCTATTCTCTGCCAAATATTCGAACTCCTAATATGGGAATGCACACTATCTGTAAATTATGCACCAGTGCCTTTGTGGAGGAGATGCCAGGGAACTGCCTGCTTTGGCTGGTGGGTTGGAAAGAGTACAGGGACCTGGGTTCGAATCTCAGTGCTGTTGCTTACTAGTGCATGCTGGAACTCGTCCTCAGTGAATGCCACTCTCTTTCTCTGTAACACACCCACTCACAGCTGTAAGTTGTCTCCATATGACTCCTTTCCACACGACTACCTCTCTACAACATGCTAAGAAATCCAGTCTCTGTCTGACCTTGTCAGGGGTGGAGAGAGCAATCGGCCCATTTGCCACTGGAACATTCCCCAGGGTCAGGGCTTCTCTGGTGTGTCTAGCAGCAGGTCTTGCAGGTAGAGCTTGGAGCCTGGAGGCTGGCCTTCTTGGCACTCACAGGAATCCCATGGATGTCAGGACCCAGGGTTCAGTCAGGACCCTGCTGTCATTCCCGCACATTTGACCTTGGCCAGACACCCACCTCCCTGCGTGGGGTTCATGTGCCAACATCACAAGGTGTCATCGCCCACCCAACCAGGTTCTGTAACGCAGGTGAAGGGTGACAGAAACCAACTTGGAACTGACAAGCTGACAAGTGGCTGAACTTGCCATCTGGCACTCAGTGGGTACCCGTGCCAGGGTGGGCAGGGCCTGGAGCAGGCCTGGAGACAGCACCCCAGTCCTGTTCCTGATATCCCCTAGACACATGGAACTTTCTCCTCCCAGCCCGCTCCTCTCCTCACACCCCCATCAGAGTCTCTTCCTGTGCTGGGGCCATTTTCCCATACAGTGGCTCCTGTCGGTTTTCACTCCCAACAACCAGCAACCGTGATTCTCAGACAGAGGACAGGTGACAGGCTGCTATGCCTGAGCTGGGTGGCCGAAGTATCTGGATACATGTGGCTCTGGCAAGACCCTTACCCAAGGCTGAAATGTACCGAGAGATAAAAAGCCCAGCTACTTTGCCCCTGAATAGGATGAGTGGAGTGTGACATCCCTGTTCCCAGAGCTGCTTAAAGAACTGAGCCAGGGAGCCTGGGTGTGCTTGACAGAAGTTCCTGCCACCCTGCCCCCATCTCTGCATCTCGTGGGCTCTCTGGGATTGCCCCGTCTGTGGACCCCTAAGGCATAGCTGAGCTGCTGGGTCTCTCTCCACACCCTGCCTCAGCACTTGCTCTTCGGGGGGAGCTGCCTTGGAAGGCGGTGGTGGAGTGTACCTTGGGCACGTTGGCTTGGTCCTCAGGGTCTGCAGATGGATCCTTTGGGATCCTGTCAAGTCTCTCAGCCACCCGGGGAAGAAAGATCTGGAGACCAAGGAAGAAAAACGTATTTCTGTCACCTTGCTGAACCATGACAGCCAGAGTGGAATATTTGTTTAACCAGACAAAGCCGTGCTACATTTATTCATGCTGCATTTGTTAACGATGTAAAGACGCGTTGCATTTGTTCATGCTGCATTTGTTAATGATGTAACGACGTTAAGACGTGTTGTATTTGCGTTTAACTAATTAGAATTAACCTGGGCTCAGAGAGGCAGGTTAGCAACTGGCTGACAGGAAGTAGCAGGGAGGAGCTTAGCGTGGGTTGTTTTAGTTGGGGAGGTGTGGAAGGCAGTGGCTTCTGGGACACCAACTGAGAGAAAGTTAGTCAGCTGCTACTTGGACTCTCTAAGCTCACAGGTTTTCACCCTAGCCTTTGAATCTCGAGTTTTATTAGAACTATAGAGATTTAGTTAGAACTACATTTAGAGGCAGCAAGGAGCCATTGTCTGGGGGAACAAATTTCCCCCCAGGCTACGGCCTTGCCAGCCTAGGCCGTTAGTAGTTTGAAGTAGAGCCACTGTAACAAAGGGAAAACCAGAAGACATGGCAAAGGACTCGGGAAATTAAAACATGCTGTTTTAAATACCAACAAGCAGTTTCTTGCCGTAGTATGGACTTGAGGTCACACGGGGGATACTTACATGTGAAGGTCACTTTTTTATATTTTATTTTATTTATTTAATCTGAAACACCACATTGACTGGGCAGTAAGAATTTAATCACTAACCCTACCCAGGGGTGCTGTGGTCATTCTTCTACCCCAACACCCCCACCATTGCTCTATCCGAAGCCTCTGAGTGGACTTGGGGAAGGATGCGAGGCTCTGGTCACCACCATAAGGACAGGTCCAGCGGCACGAGCCTTCTCTTTCATTACTCTAGCCACACCCACCTCAAAATGGCAGCGTAATCAAGGTCTCCATCACCAGATGAGGTTTGACCACGTAGTGGCTGGGTTCCACATGGGGAGCTGTGTGTGTATAAATGTGTGGGCGGCCACTGTGTGCGTAGGCCAGAGGACAACCTTGGGGGTCACTCCTCAGATGCTAGCCACCTTTTTTTTTTGAGATAGGGTCTCTTACCACCCCGTAGCTCACCAAGTAGACTTGGGTGGCTGGCCAGTGAGCCCCAGATCTCTTCCTGTCGCTGCTTCCCCAGCCCTGGGCTTATAAGTGTGCACCAGCACCACCATGCCTGACATTTTTTTTTTTCTTCTTCTGTGTTTACAAGTTCTGGGGATTGAACTCAGGCTATCATGCTTGTGTGCCAGGCACTTTATAGATCTCCGGTCTTCCCAGCCTATAAGGAGTTTTTTCAGGTCAAAGCAATAAATGATTAAAAAGCTCCTGTATGGCTCCAGCTCACACACTGGCTGTGGGAAACATGACTGGCAGCCTCAAGAAAATCAGGGCTTTTACTCCGTGGGTTACTGGGAGGTCCTGGGTGGGCACTGTGGGCTACTGAGGAAGTCCTGGGGGACACAGGCTTGGTGTTCCACACCTTCACTCAACTCACCGGGATGTTTGACTTTCTCCGGGGTTTTCCTGAGGGTTTCACAGTGAGCCCTGCTGCCCTCAGGGCTGCAATCCTGGACTCGATGTCTGAGACCTAGAAAAGAGAGGGACAGATGACAGACACGACAGAAGACAGACAGACAGATGCCACTCAGCATCCCATCTCAGATCATCAAGATCAGAATCCCAACCGTAGCCTGGTCCTGGGGTCCTCTATCGCTTCTGCCTGGTTGTGAGGGTCTTGAAGGATGTCTCGGGGTGCTGTACACATCTGGAGGCACATCTGGAAGGCTGGTTCCCACTAGTAGGATGATGTGTGTGCGGGGGCGGGGTCAGTTTGCACTAATCCTGACCTGGCCACTCCTCCCTCCTGCCACCACCAGAACCGCCCTTGTCCTGTTCTCTTCTCTGGTCACTTCTTCCCACAGGAGCCAGAGGAAGCATCTAGACACAGAAACCAAGTTAATTGCTCCCTCCTGCATTTCTTTGTGTCATGGCGTTAGGAACTGAACTCCGGGCCTTGTACATGCTAACCACGGGCTGTATCACTGAATCACACTACCAGTCATTATCTTTGTGGTCCCCAGGGTTCTCCATCTGCCATCCTCTGGAACTTTCCACTCCACTTCCCCATCACTGTGCTTGGGTCTTGGGGTCTCCCAGCCAGTCCATGAGCTTACTAAGCTCGACACCACCCCAGTGCCTTTGCACATTCTGTTCTCTCTGCTTGGACTTCCATCCCCTCGGGCAAGTGGTTCTCAACCTTCCTCATGCTGTGGGGACCCCCAACCAGAGATTTATTTCATTGTTACTTCGTAACTGTAATTTTGCTACTGTTAGGAATTGTAATGTGAATATCTGATATGCAGGATGTCTGATATGTGACCCCCCCCAGGGGGTCATGACCCACGGGTTGAGAAGCACTGCCCGAGAGCTTCTGCGCTGGAGCTCTTCAGGGTTCCTCCCACCACGTTCTCTAAGCATCCCTCCCTGGGCACTCTGTGGGATAAACCTCCATACAGTCCCCACAGCTGTTTCATGATGTAATGATTTGGTTTGTTTTCCCTTTTTGTTATGGATCTCCTCTCACAAAGAATCTAAGCTCCACAGAGGCACGGACTTGGGCTCAGGTCCTCACAGCTGTCCCCTGTGTGATCTACCCACGTCAGCCACATTTTAGAAGGGAACCCTTGAAGAAAAGGCCTGGGCCTGCCTTACCCCTGGGATGTGAGTGGTGCTGGCTCACACCTCCCTTCCTTGGGCACTGGCAACCATTGGCTGACGAGGGTAGGGGCACTGGTTGTCCCCATAGCCTGGATGCAGACCTCTTTTCTTTACCGGACTCCAGGGGGAGGACACTGCAGTCCCCGACTGTCCCTGGAAGGCCTGTCCACACAGGCTTGGCCTGGACCTGTGCACTGTTGATGTATCTTCCTCCCCCAAACCCCTGCTCTGCAGTCACTACTCAGGCTCAGGAGAACCCTCTGCCACGTCCAGTTGTGAGCCCTGCTGTCCTAACTTCTCAGCCTGTGTCTAGGCTCTGCTCATACAATGGGAGGTAGTGACAATAGGTATCTTTTTCATGGCTGAAAAGCTCGCCTCCAGGTTGAGCAGGGAGCAGAGACATGGGAATCACCCCAAGCTTGTACTCTGTCCCGCTTGCTCCTGGTTGCCAGGGAGGCCTCTGTGAGCCCGTAGGTGGGCTGTTGGGTTCTCAGACCTCTGACTGGGTCCCATCACCAGGACAATGTCATCTCTGGGGACATTCCATTCAGGGGAGGTGAGGCTACCTCGCTCTCAGACTGCTGAACTTCAGAGGCTGTCAGGGCCACTCTGTCCTCCATCTCCGACAGTTCCTCATCTGTGCTCTTTGTAGTCCGAGTAGGGTTCCCGGGGCCCTGAGGGCTCCTTCCCGGTGTCTCCAGGGGTCCCGTGTCTGCGCACACCTAGGGACAAGAAGGGTAACACTGGTCATCCACGAAGCAGAGCATAGGCTGCTGCCTCACCGCTGAGTTCCCACGGTTGGCCTCCAATCTCTTCCCCTGTGCGGTCTTGTCAAGCCCTGCCCCCCAAAGCCTGTAGCTGGTTAGCTGCCCTCCCTGAAAGGGTAGATGGCTACCTGGAACTGTCCCTCTTGCCCTGCCCTTTGTCTGGGACCGAAAGCAAGACCTCACCTCTGGGGATACCGCATGGAGGGTGCCATCTGGCTTGATCTCATCTTCTGATGAGGTGCCGGGATCACTGATGTTGCTGGTCAGTTCCTCCAGCCTCTTCCTGAGAGCCTCCTCCTCTGTGTCTGCACTGGAGTGTGATTCCACAGCTGGTTCCTGACAGGGCCGGGCAAGGGGCTCAGAGGCAGCTTTGGGAGGTGGGCCAGCCTGAGAGGACGCCAGCACTCATTCCCATTTAAGACCCCTCCTTTGCCCTGCTTCCTCACCCCCTAAAATGTTCACCTAGGTAATATAGGCATATGAAATTTACCACCTCCACCATTTTAGGGTACACAGCTGCTCAGATTCTCATCCTTCACCCAGCACCACCCTCTCCCCACAGAACTTGCCCCTCTTGCTATACTGAGACTCGGTCCCCATTGAACCTTGCCATCCTTCTCCTAGTCCTAGGCATCCATCATGCTCTTTTCTGTCTCCCTGAATCTGACCTTGCCGGGCTCCTCGTACGAGCACATGGCCTGCCTTCTGGGGGCAGCTCATTTCACTTAGCCTAAGTTCTCCTGGTTGGCCCATGTTGTAGTACGAGGCTGAACATCTTTCTCTCTTAAGGATGACCCATCGGACCACAGGGTTTGAACAAGACATTGAGCTTTCTTTGGGGGGAGTGCTCATACGTGGAGGGCACCTCCTCCCTCTACTGCTTCCTACCCCCACTGAGCCCACAGCCCTTCCATTTCTTCCCCAGCTCTGGTCCTATATCCATGTACCTAAACTACTACTCCTATGTCCATGTACCTAAACTACTGGTCCATATCCGTGTACCTAAACTACAGCCATTTATCTGGCGGGGGCTCATGCGGCTGAGGACAAGGGTCCTGGTGCTCTGCACTCTCCCTTTGTGAGGCTGAGGTGTGCCACAACAGTGTTCTCTCAGCACTACCTAGATGTTCTGTGTTCCTATAGGACTTTGGGGTCTGTCCTGGATTCGCATAGCAACAAGGACCCTCATAATTTCCAGTAATTGTGAATCCAGGGACAAGGTGGAGGTGTCACACCTTATCTTCATATCACTTTCATGTCACAGGGACTAACCCCCTCAGGCCAACAGCAAGTTGCAGGATGTTGCTGACAGAAGAGGAGGTGGCAGTGTGTGGTGACTCCGTGGCATTATCCTTCATAGGCGAGTTTTCTTGAGTTCAGATCAAAGGAGGCAGGCTGCATGGGGGCTTGTCTCTTTGTCTTAGATGAGACTTTAAGGACTTAGAATATCTGTTTGCTCCAGCTGGTAAAAAAGTCCAAGAAGGCCACATGTGTGTCTCAGGCTGGCTTCGGACACCAGACAGTGGCCATGTATTTGCTGCCCAAAGCTACTCTCCAACATGATGTACTTCAGCCACAGGTCTTGTAAGTGGCATCATGACTTCAAACGGAGTTGGATCATGAATGGACTGGAAAGTAACTACCAAGAATAATGTAACCATGACCAGCTGGCTGCTGCGCACTTATCCTGCACTTGACTTAGGGATAGCGAAGAGGTGTGAGAGTCACGAGTTGCTCCAGTGAGGTAGTGCAGGCTGGGGATGCTGGTCCAGCTTCAGCACCCATGGTGTCTACATCTGGGTAAAGATTCATCTCATGGCAGTTTCGGTGATATCTACCCATACTGTAGCACCTTGTTATTGGCCACAGATGGCTTCACGTGGGTGGGCTATGTAGGAAACCTCATCTATTCATCCTTGGAGCACCATGCATCAATCAGCTGCAAGATCTCTGAGACACTTGCCCTGAAGTTATAGCCGTGACTTTAACCTCCCTTAATAGAAGGCTGTGGGATGACCTTGCATAGCCCAGGGAGTTACCTGGGCCGAAGGAGGCAGGACTACATTCTCGAGGTGGACCAGCAGGTGCTCCACAGCTGACATGCGCTTGTTCAACTCCAAGATCTGCAGCAGAGGAAGAGGAGCAGTGGTCTGGTTATAGAAGAGGGTCTCACTGCATCCCCCACCAGCATAGGTGCCTTCCTCCTCTGAAGCCTCAAGCCCGGCTCTGACACGGCCCTGGAGGTTAACTGTGAAAAAACTCCTTTCTGACACCAAGGGCCCTGGGACCAAGAGAGGAGGTAAGTGGGGTGGATGACCGTGTAGGAGAGATGAGAAACCCAACCAGACACCAAGGCAGCTGAAAGCAGTGGCTGTGTCTGTCAGTGGGCAGCCCCTGTCACTGGCCTGGCTGATGAGCACAGGAAGGTGTGCATTAAGCTGGACACGGTGACCAAAATCATTAGGAAGCAGGAGCCCTGGGTCAATTGTGACCCAAAGCACAGCTTCCTAATTCTTTGAGTCACCAGACTCTTGAGTCAGCTAGTCTATTAGCTCCCAGACAGAGCCCAGAAAATCAATTCCTCTTTGCTTTGCTTCCTTGCAGGCGGCCTCTCTGTCCTGAATTATCTCATTTACCGCTCGCCTGGCCTTATGAGAGGGAAGTGACGTGTATCGGGTGGGAAGCTGCCATTGTTGGTGGGTAATTACCACAGCATTGAGGACTTGGAGTGGAGGAAGACTGCTCACTGGAAATGTCAACCCAAGTGTCTGTGAGTCCTCTGCCCAGGCTTGCCCTCTGTGGGCAGCCATTGACTGAGGGCTCATATGGCCCGGCCCATTTGGTGTTTGCTGTGGTGGCAATATCAGTGTCCTCAGCAGACTGCTCAGCACATGGCCTTTGTCTGCTGGCCCAGGAGGCACAGTTGGGGACTTGGAGGGAGGAAAAGGTACCCAGTTGCCAACATGTCATTGCGAATGCCACATGGAGTGAATAAGCTAAGCTAAGAGGCCTGGGAAGCTGGGGCTGAAGAGGAAGGCAGAGTCTGGGAGGGGCCGGCAAAACAACACATTGGGCAGTTCACTCAGAGGGCGCAGCATGGCTTTCTGGTGAGGCCCTGGCTGTAGCTAGGCCCTGTGGAAAAGTGGGGACCACCAAGCCAGTGAGACACACAGGGAACACAGCCAACTCCAGTTTCTGCCTGGTGACTGGAGCCTCTGGTACTTGGAAGACAAGCGCACAGCACAAAGGGTCTCACGAGGGACCACAGTTTCAGGGAGGGCTGGAGCCTCCCATTTTGCCAAGATGGAGGAAAACTGGAGGGAGACGAGCAGCCTCATTTTCCCTGTGGAAAATAAAAGACCGGGGTGTTCCAGGGACACTGTAACCCAGCACTTGAGAGGCGGAGGCAGGAGGATGGCAAACTTGAGGCCAGCCTGAGCTACAAAGAGAGAGCCTGTCTTACAAATCCAAGGGCTGGGGCTGAGTGTGACTCAGTGTTAGAGCGCTCACCTAGTGGGCTTGAGGCCCTGGGCTCTATCTCCAGCCTAGGGTGGGGATTCCTCCCAGGCTCTCATTTCAGAATTCCCTCCTCTGTCCATTCCGTATGTATGTAAACCTTCATAGCAGATTAATAAGCCCTGTTTCGGCTCAGAACTCTGGACACAGCCTTTTTGAAATGCAAATGTCACCATCCCCTGCAGGAAGGAGCAGGCTGAGTGTGGCCTAAACCTTGCTTGAACAAGAAAAATCTACCTCTTGTCTTAAAGATGGGGGTGGAGGGTGGGGGCTGTGGGTGTGTGGGTGTGTGGGGGGACTTGGGGGGCACAGGTTCTCTCTGGCTAAATCAACTCAGATTACATGGCTCTCTCTTGGGGGGCTCTGCTTTCAATCTTGGTGACCAGCTAATCAAAATTCATTATAGTTCTGTGTGTTATCACAGAAGAACCAGGTGGTAACTATATTTTTAATTTCTTCTTGCAGACAGATTCTGGATATGTAGCCTAAGCTGGCTTTGAACTTGAGATTCTTCTGTCTCTCAAGTCATATAAATTTTTTTCTCTTTTTCTTTCCTTCCTTCTTTCTTTCACATTTTGATGAACTAATTAAATGTCAATTTATGTTATACAAATCCACTTCAGTAAGGCTTATCTATGGACATATCTTATGATATGGGCAATTTCATGTCTGAAAGTGCTGAACGCTTCAACTTCTCTAGAGTAACGTGGTGTGAAAGAAGAAAAAGAATCCATCTAGAGAAGCACAAAGATGGAATTCTCTCCAACCCCATTACCTGAGTGTCAGGCACTGCCCGGGCCTTCCTCTTGGAATGCTGGGAGGCTGCCCTGGGATCTCGGAGACTGTCTTCATCAGAGGTGTCCACGTCAGCCAGGTACTGTGAGGGGAGCTGTTTGCCTTTGACATTATCTATCCCTTTGGAGAAAGAAGGGGTTCAAATAGGAGTGAAGGGACATGTTTGCTCCAATGAGGCAAAGTGAGCCGTAGCCACATTCCATGAGGATTTGGGAGAAGATTCTTGGGTTATAGGACTATGGATCCCACACACACCTTCAGGAAAGAGGCCCCTGGCAGCCTGGATGGGCTGGTGGCATGGAGCTTGAGAGTGGAGGAGGGTAGTTATAATATAATCCTAAATCCTAAATTGCAAATAGCACCAGATTCCACACATGTATTCGGCAGGGCATAGCTTTGAAAACCTTTTCCACACCACCATGGCCACTACTGATCATTTTTCACTCACAGAGCTTTGTGGGTAAGAGTCCCCTGCAGAGTGGCTTGAACGATTCTTTCTGAGCCATAGGGTGAGATGACCTCATCATATTGTATCTCACCAACAATTACCCACCACATCTGCTTGGCCCAAATGGCACCTCACATAACAATAGAGAGACCAGGAAGGAGGTACGCAGTGGCCCCCTCCAGAAAGTTCAGGGCACACACCTTGCCTGTGTCAGATGCTCAGCAGGTCCCACCCTGTGCTATGAATCCTGCCCAGAAACTGCTTGAGTGACATTGCAGCCCCTTCAACACAGCCTGGGAGACCCTGTGCCAAGGATAGCCCAAACCCAGCAGCCCATACTCTGACTCCCTGTGAGATCACACTTGTCATTGCTCATTTGGTGATGATTTGTCATCACATGTGACAATCTCATTTAGTCCCTACAACTTCAGGGTGAGAGCTAGAAATCACTGCTTTTCCTAGCAAGGACAATGGGGGCAGGAAAGCCATATGACCTGGTAGCATACCATATCATCATGTCCCTGATCTTGGGGGCAGTCTGCTCCATCAAGAGAAGAGCTGGCCACACCCTGACACTCCTTTCTCATCAACTCCACTGTGACACCCCTTCTCCTCATCTAAGAGATGCCGTGTGGAAAGTCTCGTGTGGGTACCACTGAGCGCTGCTGCCTGGGGCCGCTCTCAGAACCTCCCAAACAAAAGGGCCTTTGCATGGCAATGCTGGGTCTTTTGCCCCTGGCTTGCCTCTTCCACATGCTCCAGGGTCATGCCATCATAGGAAGGAATATAAAGTCTTATCACTGGGCAGGATTATTCACTCACAGTTTGGAAAACAAGTGGAACCCCACACTTCTATCCCCAGGACCCCAGTCACGGCAAGGGACATGAGGTTATATAGTCTCTATGGACCCACAGCAAGGAGGCAGGAGTGGAGGTCTCCCTGCAGCAGCTGCACGTGTGGGGATGGAATGTGCGGCTGCTGCTGTGACCTCATTTACGCTAATTTTATCCGTGTCTGAACTGCTGACCCCGCACACCGGCACCCTTGTGCACATGAAGAGGCATCCTCGGGATTCCACTTGGAAAGCTAAACTGTCTGATAAAATCGAATGGAACCCACTTCCTTCTCTTGCTCTTTGTCTCCTGATGAGTAGCTACAGGCCCCCGGGTGGGACCTGCTCGGCTGCTCTTCCAGTGAAGCTTTGGACTTGGTGGGACTGTAGCCGTTTTGAGGAAATTGACATGTCCCTACCCTATGCCAGTGGCAGTGGACTGGGGAAGGCTCAACTTCTTTCTTTGTATTTCCAGACATTACAGGGAAGCACTGGTCCCAGGGAGGAAAGGGTCTATGAGGTTTGCTGAAGGACAATACACTGAAAAAATCAGCCAGTCTATCTACGTAAACTAGGGGGAAGGGCTGGCTTCTTAGGGACTCCTAGCCCCACAGCCCCTCAGAAAAGAGGTTGGCTAGGTAGGTACCTACCAGGCATAGTTGTGGTCCCTAGGGCCCTCTTGCAGGATGCTCCGGGCAGGTCCAGGCCAGTGTGGACATCCTCTCTGGAGGGCAAGGGGATGTGTGGCTGCTCTTCTGGACCGGAGTGACACCCCAAGGGCCCTGCATCAGTATCCTCCAGGCCCTCAGGCTCCAGAGAGGTGGTATCCTCAGAGCAGGGTTCACCTGAGAGGGACTGAGCACACGAGCTGTCAGTGTTGGCCATTCCAATGTTACCGACTGAACACCAGACAGCCATCTGCTCTGGCAGTGGGCCGTTCATTTCTATTTCCAAACACTGTGCCAAGAGCATTTACCACCCTTCTGCTTCATGTCTGTGACACCAGGGTTCCCTGGGACATTGTGCCCAGGCACCAGACAGGAGACAGAAGTATTTCTGAGTAGCCAGGAGCCCAGGCTCACTAAAGCTGAAGCCATGAAAGCATTCCTGTGAAGATTTTCCTTCTTTCTTGGGAGAGAGGAAATGGTTACTGTGTCTGTTTTAGCAATCCTGGACAGTCAGAGGGTCAAAGCGGGGAGGTGAGGTTTCCTGAGCAGATTGCCCCCAGGCTGAGGGGTCTGCATGGTGCCATCACCCCCAAAGGATCTAGGTATTGAGGGCTCCCAGAAGCCGCTGCTCAGCATCTCTACAGTTTCATCTTGGCTGGTGGAGTGGCATGGGTTCTGGGGAGGGGGAGTTGGAGGAGCAGGACCTATGGCCCAGTGTTCCCTAGGGGCTGGCTTCTATGGCCCCTGCTCTTTGTCCTCTCCTTCCATGTGGGTCAGAAGGCCCAACCCTACCTGGCTCAGTCCATAACTGCCTGAGTCCAAGAACTACTGAGGGGTTCATAACAAAACAGGACCTGCCTGGTCTTGTGCTGGCTCTTGTGTTCACAACTATTTTTACCGCCTGTCTGCATGTCTCGTGCATGCTGGGCATGGACCCTCACCTCAAAACCAAACCTGAAAGGCAGAAGTTATTAGCCTTCTTCCAAATGAGGGGATAAGGTTGCAAAGAATTTCCAAGGACCAAGGTCCCATGTCTAATGAACAGAGTGTAGCAAGAGCAGGCGTTTCACTCACAAGACCAGCCTAGTTTGAGCAATGAAGTGCATGATGTCCCGGTAAGGCACAGGTGCAGCTCAATGCTGGATCCTGCCTGGCTCCTTGGTGGATGCCATTGTCCATTCTGCACTCCCAAGTCCTTATTTCTAGGCTGAGCACCAATCCTCACATCCCAAGACCCCAACTCACCCACCTGGTCTTAGTTTCTGCCTGCCCCAACCTCTCCAAGTGTTTGCTCATCCTGAGATGCTGGCCTTGGGAGGAGGTGAAGCTTCTGAATCTTATGCTCCCACATCCTGTCGCCAGTTGTCTCCCTGTCTTGAGAGCCTATTGGGACCAACTATATGACACTGGGACCCCAAGCGCAACCCCAACTGAGGCCTAAGCACCTGCCCCTCTGCTCAGGTTCCTAAAAGGAACGGGGGGGGGGGGGGGGGGATGGGCAGATGCCAGAGTGCACTGACCTGCAGGCTGTGTGCAGACTCAGGGACTGAGGACAGGCCCAGGGTATGGCCGCAGGGCTCCATCGAGTGTTCTGGGTCTTCCTCAAAGTCCACATCACTGAAGGAGAGCAGACGCTTTTTCTTCTCGGGGGTAAGATAAGCAAGACTGGTCAAACCCCTGCCTCACACTCAGCCTCCAGACAGCCAGCAGCCTCCTGCAAGGGCACCCACCTCTAGCTGGAAACTGACCCAAAGGAGCCCTGAGGCGGCAAGGGGGCCGAGGAGCCCTCACTGTCTACCCCATCAGAAGTAACACGATACCCATGGCCCTCCCTGTGCTGTAAGGAAAAAGAGTTCTTGGCCTGCCAGGTACTCCTGGGGTGGGGGCTGCTGTAGCACTGAAGGTACCCCACACAGAAAGCTTCCTGGCACTCACTGACTGTGGGGTGGAGAAAGGTGACCGCTCCGTTTTTTTAAAAAGATATATCAACATTTCTTTATAACCGCCACCCCTCAATACAATTACTCTGATCCTTTAAATGTATGTTTTATTGTAGAATGTTCTAGACACTGGCTGGGTTGCATTCTGTCAGCTCAGCCAATGGTGTGAATCAGATCTTGTGCAAAAGATGACCGAGTGTCCCTGGAACATTTCTCAGATCTGATTCTACAGCCCTGTCACCTTCAAAGGGTTCAAGGCCAAGCTCACACTCTCCAGGCCACTTCCTTCTCCCTCCGACTCATCATTGTCATCCAATCCCCAAACCAAGGTGCTGCCTGGCCTGCCTCCACCACCAAAAGTAATTGAAAAGACATACAAGAAGAGAAACAACCACTTATAAAGACAAGTCCCATGATCTGAAAGGTGCAAGGGCACTCTCACATGGGTCCCTTGAGCTATCTGGACACAGATCTGTCTTCTTGCACACTCTTTGTCACAGCCCCTGGGTGCCACAGAACTCCAGTTAGTCAGGCCAGGCCTGGCAGTGGGATTTGTCCATCTGTACCTTGGAGTTTTGCACTTCTGAAGTGAACACTGGGCTCCCATGCTTAGGAGGGAGGGTCTCAGGAGGGAAGGACTCAGGAGGGAGGGTCTTAAGAATGGAAGAGCTCAGGAAGGAGGGAGTCCCAGGCTGGGGATGAGGAGCCACTGAGAGCACAGAGGTTCCTAAGTGGGTATAGGGTGGGAGTAGGGGAGAAATGCAGGTCCCTGAGTTATGAGCTGGCTAGGAGGAGGTATAAGGGAGCTGAGAGGCATGAGGATGGGCAGGAGAGGTATGGGATTTGGGGAGAGAGACACTGCCAGGGGAGGACTTACTTTGCTGTTGAGGGGCTGTGCCTGGGCCTCCACATCCAGGTCTCCATCCTCATCTGTCTGTTCACTGTCTCCACTGCCTTCTCCCAAGCTTGGCTCAGATCCACCTGCAATACACAGGCGCATGGCTCCACCCTTAGAGGGCTGGACAGGGAGACCACTTAACTGTGTCTCAATTCATCTTTCCACTCACCTGCCAACTGCCCAACTGTGGTGGTTTGAATGAGAACAGCCCCCATAAGCTCATATATTTGAATACTTGGTCTCTAGTGGGTGGAACTGTTTGGGAAGGATTAGGAGGCGTGGCCTCGATGGAGGAGGTGTGTCACTGGGGATGGGCTTTGAGGTTTCAAAAGACGAGTGCCATTCCTAGTTACCCCCTCTCTGCCTCGTGGTTGTGTCTCCAGATGTGAGTTCTCAGCTACTGCTCAGCGCCATGCCTGCCTGCCTGCCTGCTGTCATGGTTTCCACCATGATGATCATAGGCTCAAAACCTCTGAAATAACAAGCCCCAAATAAACTCTTCTATAAGACGGTGTCTTCACAGCAATAGAAAAGTAACTAAGACACCCTCCCTCTCTCCTTTCTTTCTTCTGTTTATATATCCACCTACCCATCCACCTAGCCAAGCACCTGTTCACCGCCATATACCCATCTATCCGTCCATCCATCCATCCATCCATCCATCCATCCATCCATCCAGGAACCCTGTATACCGCCCCTTTGGCATTTTCACAGCAATGGACTGTTCTAAAGTGAGCCACGTCTCAGATGGCTCTGGTTCCTCGGGTGTGTCCTAATTCACAGTGACCCTGGTCAGTTTACAAACACTTTCATCCCTCATCCTGCCTGTGGCTCTGCTCCCTATGAACAACCACCCGGGAAAGTGCTGGAGGGACCAGCTTTCTGCCTTGTACTGCCGGGCTCCGGGGCCATGGGCCTGGGAGGCTCACAATTTGACTTTTCTCCTTCCCGCTACCAGCCATACCTGCTCAGTCTGAACCTGAGCCTGCAGGTAGCATGGTGGGCAGAGACGCCTTTGCAGTCTCAAACTGAGCCTGCAGGTAGCATGGTGGGCAAAGATGCCTTTGCAGTCTCAAACTGAGCCTGCAGGTAGCATGGTGGGCAGAGACGCCTTTGTAGGGCGGCAGAAGGGAAGGGGTCTATGTCAGCAGAAACAAGCATGCAGGCTGTAGAGATATCAGCTGACTTCTTGGGGTGACATCAAAAGCCAAGCACCCCCCCCCTCCAGCCTTCAGGATCCTTTTAGATATGGCTTCTGACTTCTCTCTACACTGAGGACCCAGGTCCCAGCTGCACTAGTCGCCTGTCTCATCAATCATGCTGCACAAGTCCACAGGGTTTCCCATGGTCCTGCCACAGATCAGGGATGGCCTGACCTCACTTGACCGGGAGAAGAAAACAAAGAGGAAGACAGCCGAGGCCTCACTGTTGACAGCGAGTGAATCCTGCTGTCTGCCAGGAAAACCTGCGCACCAACACAGGGCTTTGGGAAGGAGGGGTGCCTGGGTACCTAGCAACAGTGATTGTCCTTCCCTCTCTCACACTGAGGCTGCTCATGAGGAGCCCATGGAAGGCGCGGCCTGGAAACAGGCCTCACTGGGGAGGTCTGCAATGGCACCGTGGCCGGGCTGGGTCAGCTCTCAGAACGGTGACTTTGCTCCTTCAGTAGGTTTTTTCTTTTAAGAAGTCCCCTCCAGTAGGTTGGGGTCATCACAGTGTTCATGCAGAGGATCTGGGTTCAGTTCCCAACACCCACATTGGGTGGTGGTGTGGGGTCCACAAGCACCTGTAACTGTAGTTCCAGGTGTTTGGACAAGCTTCTTTAACATCCATGGATGGACACACACACACACACACACACACACACACACACACACACACACACACAAACACACACACACACGATTAGTTTTAAAAAATACTGGGGGCTAGAGAGGGGGCTCAGCGGTTAAGAGGACTGACTGCTCTTCTAGAGGACCCGGGTTCAATTCTCAGCACCCACGTGGCAGCTCACAGCTGTCTGTAGCTCCAGTTCCAGGGGATCTGGCACCTGCACAGACATACATACATACAGGCAAAACAGCAATGTACATAAAATAAAAAAAAAATCTTAAAAATATTAAAAAGAATAAAATAGAAGAAAGCGCCCTCTCCTGACTTCATCTTGCCCTGCTCTGTTTTCAGGAGCCCAGCAGGGGAGAATGAAGCTTTGGGATCCCTGGGCAGAGATCTGCCTCCGCTGGGTTGCTGGGACTCCTCGCCAGGAAGTGCCTCTATGTTGTTTTTTGTTGTCCCACAGCGCCACCTCCTGGGAGAGTGGCAGGTTATGCAGGCAGGAAGCCTTAATTCCCACAGCTCGCAAGATGGCTAAGCCGAGAAACTCTCAACTTCTAAGAGACAGACAGCTCCCTAGCTATGAGTCCTCATCAGGGTGTAAAATTTTAGGAAGATAAGAGTAACATAAAACAATGACTTCAAATATTGGGGATGTTTACAGCAAGCTGGAAGCCCCAGGGGGCTGGAACATGACTGAGGACTCCAGAAGTCTGTCTCACACAGAAGCCAGCCAACCACACTCTGAACGGTTCATCACCATTAAAGCAGGCCTGGCACACCCCCAGGCCAAGTCCTCGCCTTACCTCCGCCCTGCAGCCGTCCACAGAGAGACCGGATCACTTTGGCACTCCCGAAGCGCTTGAACCGAGCTCTCACATGCTGGTAGTACCACTCCAGCGAGCCAATCTTCACGACTCTGCCGGGAGATGAGTGAGATGCTGGCCTGAGGCAGTGTCTCCCCCTTCCCCGGCCAGCCCCACCAAAGGGACACACCAGGCTCAGACGCCACGTGGGACGCTCTGCCTCCCGGCTCACCTGGCCAAGTGGCAGGGGTCACAGAGCCAGCCCTGCTCTTCTGGGTGGACATGGCTGCAGCTTTTGCAGACAAAGAGGCCACACTCTCGGCACTGCCGCCTGCTGTTCACCAGGAGCCGGTAGGGCCGCAGGCAGCGGGCACAGTGGGTCTCATTCAGGTGGGCTGTGTCCGACAGCAGTTCTCTCTTCGAGCTCTCCTTCTGTATCTTGCCCTTCAGTCCCCTGGGGAAAATGCGGGAACAAGAAATACATCAGACACCTGTTTCTACATCAGGTATGTGAGTGCACACAGTGTGTGCATAGACACACACACAGGGCACTTTCATATCCAGAAGACAGGGGCCCAGACTGATGGAGGGCACTCTTGGGCATCCTGACCATCAGCAGAGCGCCCGCTTGCCTTCTTTCTGGAGGGGACAAATAGGTCGGGCTTAATCATATACAATTTTGGTAGGCTAGAGTCGAAACCTATGATTTTCACAGAAATGGCACTGCCCTTAAGCATTGCTGTGGCATTATGATTGTACACTATGCCCTCTCTTGTGGATCAGAGAATCCCGAGGCAAGGCCAGGTGACATTTCCTCAACAAGTGGTTTTTGGGTGTCTTCCAGCAAGCCCCAAGCTGAAGCCCAGGATTGTTCCTGCAGAGCCTGACCAAGGCGCTTGGCTTGGAGAGTCTCCAGACAGGAATCACCCTGCACCCACCCGGAAGTCCCAGGAGAGAAACCTGTTCTTCGAGACCATCCGGTTTAAAATAACACAGCTTTCTGGCAATCCTGCCAAGTGGAACCAGCTGCAGTGGACTGGAAGATGTACCCCAGATCCTAATGAATGCACCCCTTTTGTTCTGAGTTTCATGGACTACCTGCCAGACATAATATTTTTTGTTTTAGATAGGATAACGGTAATCTGTCCTTAGTGAGAAAAATTAGTGAGACACTGGGTCCACTGTCTCCTGAGGACTTTCAAGTTTTCAATTTCTGTGGGGACACCCCAGTGTGGGTGGGTGGGTGAGGGGTGCTGGGTGGAAGAAGGGTGTGCATGAGAGAGAGAGAGAGAGAGAGAGAGAGAGAGAGAGAGAGAGAGAGAGATATTTTATAAATTTTAAATTAGACTACAAAGCACTGGGCTTCATCATGGCATCTTCACACATGTGTCATACTTTGTTCTCAAGTGTCTCTCTCCCCACACCCCCCCCACCAGGCGATGCTGATCACCCTTTTTAAGTATCTACTGTGTTCATAGTTCTTCTGAGAGATCTCTATTGAGTTCATTAGCCTACTTACTGATCGCTGACTTTTTTGGATTTAATTTTATAGTTCTTGTGATGTGTTTTTATAATTGTTCTATTCTATTTTTAGCTGTGCTGTTACTCTCTCCCTGGACCTAGTCTATACGCTCCACCGTGTCTCGGGTATGGACCTACGGCAAGAGACACAGTGTCTAGAGGCTTGGCTCCATCCGCCACTTCAGACATTGGAGTACATCATTTCTGAACAGGAGTGCTTGTTCTGCTTGTGCTGGCTAATTTTATGTCAACTTGACACACGCTTGAGTTGTCTGAAAGGAGGAGACCTTAATTGGGAAAATGCCTCCATAAGATCCGGCTGTAAGGCATTTTCTTAATTAGTGATTGATAGGGGAGGGCCCAGCCCATTGTGGGTGATGCTATCCCTGGGCTGGTGGTTCTGGGTTCTGCAAGGAAGCAGGCTGGGAAAGCCATGGGGAGCAGGCCAGTAAGCAGCACCCCTCCATGGTTTCTGCATCAGCTCCTGCATCAAGGCTCCTGCCCTGCTTGAGTTCCAGTCCTGACTTCCTTTGATCATGAACAGTGCTGTGGAAATGTAAGCCAAATAAACTCTTTCCTCCCCAAGTTTCTTTTTTCTTTTCTTCTTCTTCTTCTTCTTCTTCTTCTTCTTCTTCTTCTTCTTCTTCTTCTTCTTCTTTTTTTTTTTCAAGACAGAGTTTCTCTGTGTAGCTTTGTGCCTTTCCTGGAACTTGCTTTGGAGACTAGGCTGGCCTCGAACTCGCAGAGATCTGCCTGCCTCTGCCCCCCCCCCCCGAGTGCTGGGATTAAAGGCGTGCACCACCACCGCCCAGCCCTCTCCAAGTTTCTTTGGTCATAGTGTTTCATCACAGCAATAGTAACCCTAACAAAGACAAGTTGGTACCAGGAGTGGGGTATTGCATTGCTGTGACAGACCTGACCATGTTTTGGGGAGGATTGTGGAAGGGCATTGGAATTTTGGACTAGAAAAGCCATTGAGTCTTGAGAGCTCAGTGAGCTGTTCTGTAGGCACTCGGAAGATAAGAATGGTGAGGGAAATGCAAAAGATGGAGACCTGGCTTGTGCAGTTTCAGAGGGAAGTTTAAAGACTCTGGGGGTGGGGCATTAGTTTTTTGAATTAAGACTATGGAGTTCTGGTTAGCTGGGGCTTAGGAATCAGCTGTGATTAACACGACACCAAAACTATTAAAGTGGAACCTTTGCTTTGCTGGGATACTCAATGCCAATCAGCTAGAACTGGTAAATGAGCAGTGATTTAAGAGGAGACCAGCATCGTTGAAGTGAAATTTTCTGGGAAGTGTTTCCTGAGAGTCAGCACACAAAAGCTGTTTTCAGAGGCAGCCAAGGTTTTACCTTGCACTGGCAGATGAACCTGGTAGTGTAAGAGTTCCCAGGCTGTACTGGTTTTGAAGGCATGAAGGGGTTGTGAGAGCAGCTGGGGTTTGGCACTGTGAGAGGTCATGAGAAGTCAGTGGTGAAGGTGCAGCCTCAGTAGCAGTTGAAGGCCCAGGATCAAAGGGGTCACACAGAGAAACTGAGGCTTAGAATCATGAAGAGAGCCCAGGGGAGGCTATTGGTGAAAGTGCAGCCCAGTGGCAGCAGAGTCCCCAGCGTTTTGGAAATGCCAATACCATGGGACAAACACCATGAGCAGCAGCAGTGGAGCCAGCCAGAGCCCAGAAGGTAAGCTGTGTGTGCTGTAGAGGGCAGAGCTGGAGAAGTGACCCAGGCCCAGTGGAGGAGCCCAGAAGATCATGAATGATAATAACTGGACATTGAGCTATTTATACTTTTTGGAGTTGGTTTTACTGTGTTCAGATTGTGACTGTGTCCTGGTTCTTTCTTCATGAAGTAAGGAAGTATTTTTGATTTTACAGGAGCCCATGGTTGAGAGACCTTTAAAAGACTGGATCTTGAAAGGGATTGGCTATGTTAAAAAGATTGATTTTTTTTAAGTGTTTTAATTTTTAAAGTGTGGGACTTTTAAAATTTGGAATGTTTTATTGTAATGTTGATATTAATGCTTGATCTTGGGGAAGAACAAGAAAGGAAAGGTTATGGCTTAACAGTGATGTGTTTATATGTCAAGTTGACAAGGGGTCAATTGTGCTGGCTAGTTTTATGTCAAATTAACCCAAGCTAGAGTTGTTGTTACACTCAAGACTTGTGGTCACACTCTGAAAGCCAAGAAAAAGAGGGCAAGGAGTGGCCAGAAACTCGGAGCAATACTGGTATTGCTCCACAGCACAGTGAGGATAAAGCCACACCCACAAGGCACCTTGCTTTTAGCAGAGCTACAGGACCTCTGGAGCCAGCTGGGAAGGGCCAGCCTCCTCCATTTCTACTCTTTCCTATCTGCATCAACCAGGGAAGCTATGGGCTACCCCTCCTCCAGACCCCTCCATCTCCCTCCCAGTGGGAAATAGAATCCTGGGGCCAGCCCAGCAGGAAAGAGGTATAGACATTTGAAGAAGTGGCAAACAGAATGTGAAGAGAGCCTGGGCCTGGGGAGGGAGCTGGAAAGAGATGAATTCTGTAATTCTTGTTGAATTTGGGGGAATGCACTATTCCCATTTCAGGTTCTAGCTGGAGACTGGGAGGAGAGAACCAAGGAGATGCCATGCTGGGGGATCAGGAGACTCGTGTCTGCTGCTGGGCATATCACCTAAGCTGGACATCGATCATCTGGGAGAAGTGTCTGAGGCCAGATGTTTTCTCCAAAATGAACAACACAAACCAGCAACTTCAAGAAAAAGATTGATTACTGACCACAAGAAAAATGAAAGTTTCAAACACAAAGAAGAACTTTAGGAAACTCTTGTCCTCTCCCACAAGAGTGACAGTTTCTAGCTTTCACATTTCTAAGAATAGTAGGGCAGTGTGACTCAGTTTCCTTCTGTCAAATGGACATGGTACCATTTGAAGATCTGAACAACTCAGGGAAGCCATGTTTTTCAAAGGCTAAGTTTAAAAAATTACAGTTTGAAGACTCTTTCCAAGGGGAAGACAGACTGGACATCAGAATGAAAAGCTCATCAGAAAGGTTTGAGAGCCCACATCACAACCAACCCTCAAGAAACTATAAGGAGTGGCCAAACTTAATGTCCAGAATTACCAGAAAAATAAATAAATAAAATAAATTTTAAAAATCCCCCAAAAAGCAAGTCAACTCCTCCAACTGGATGTAGTGGCACACACCAGCAATCCCAGTTTTCTGGGGCTGGAGACCATCCTAGATTACATAGAAAGACCTTACTTACTTACACACACACACACACACCATACACACACAAAGAGAGAGACACACACACACAGAGGTAGAGCAGAGAGAGACAGAGAGGGAGAGGGAGAGGGAGAGGGAGAGGGAGAGGGAGAGGGAGAGAGAGAGAGAGAGAGAGAGAGAGAGAGAGAGAGAGAGAGAGAGAGAGAGAGAACAAAAACAAAAAAGTACTCTTCCATTTTGTAGACACTGATATACACAAGGCTGGATTTTCTTCCGTGTCTCCCCAAACACCCTACCATAGCACCCAGCGTACAGAGGCGAGATGAGGTCACCTTTACCTTCTGTTGTAGCCAGCATTGGATCAATTTTCAAATCTGTAGACCAACACCATTCTCACTCACGGTTTTGTTTTGGAAAAATAGTTATTAAAAATTAAAAATGTGTTAGAATGTAAGTGGTTTATTGCTATTAATTATTAATTTTTGAGACAAGTTTTCACTATGTAGTTCTGGAACTCACTATGTAGACCAGGTTGGCCCTGAATTCATAGAGATTCTCCTGTCTCTGCCACTGGAGTTCTGGGATTAAAGGTGTGTGCCACTACGCCTAGCTATTATTTTTAAATAAACAAACATTTTCAAAAACCAGTTTTGTGCTCTGGTATGCCAAGTGTTATGATATGAGGCTCATAAAAAATAACTTTGGGGCCT